CTATTTGAAACATCGTAATTGAGTCGAATAGATTCAGACATACCAATGATCAATTTAGCAATGCATAGACTACTTTTCTTGCAATTTTCTTTACATTTTATTCTAAAACTATTAATACTAAATTGTGAAATTAAATCCCTAAATGCCAATGCATATTTTTGGTATTTTTCATATGGATCAAAATGCACAAATAAAAATGCAACAATTACCAAAGCATGCCACAAAATTCACAAAAATTTATAGAATACTAGAAAACATTGTTTTGTTTGAAATTTTAGGAATTATTGCTTAGGGCAAAAATCACGTGCTCACACGGGGTTTCAAACCCTCAAGACGTCATTCAAAATCATTACTCACCTCTAGCCGGTCAAAGTCTAGCTCGCTATGCCTTTTCCCCTCGAATCGACCTCCTCGCGCGTCGAATCTGATCAAAACCACAAGAAATACATCACAATAGGCTAATGGGTCATAACCCAATCGAAAAGACTCGAAAAATATCAAAATCACGAAGTTGGCGAAACCCGAGCCCCGGGCCCACTCCTCGAAAAATTACGAAATTCACATCTCCGGATTCCTCGTCTCGCCACGAGTCTATACATATCAAAATCATCAAAATCGGGGTCCATTTGACCCCTCAAATCCCTATTTTAAACTCTCTTAAATTCAAGCCCTAAACCACCATTTTTTGACCTTTGATTCCTTGATTATTCAGTCCAAATTCATGTTTACACACCATAAAATCAAGCTCTAAGTCCAAGAGTTCATACCTGATAATAGCCCTCGAATCCCTCTTCAAAATCGCCTCAAAGCTCTCAAGGTCCGGAGTCCAAAATGTCACTCTTTCAAAAATTCGCGAAGAAGATGTTCTCACTTAACCTGCCAGTTATTTCCGTTTCTGCGGATAAATTCCCGCTTTTGCGCCTTCCGCTTATACGGTCAATGTCCGCTCCTGCGGACCTTTCACTCAAGGCGACTTTCCGCTTCTGCGATCCAACTTCGCATCTGCGGGACCGCTTAAGCGACCCAATGTCCAGCTTCTGCGGAACCTGACCTGGGCTCCTATTTTCGCTCCTGCGAGGCCTGGCTCGCTTCTGCGAGACCGCATCTGCGATCTCCTTTCCGCAGATGCGGAAACACCTGCTGCAACCAAAAACCTGCAATTTTCCAACTTCAAATTCCTTCCGTTAGCCACCCGAAATCACCCCGAGGCCCCCGGGACCTCAACCAAGGTTACCAACACATCTTAAAACATTATTCAAACTTGTTCCAATCCTCAAAACTCGTCAAACAATGCTAAAACCATTAAATCACATCGAATTCAAGCCTAAGTTTCTTCAAAACTTCCGCAATACGCATTCGATCAAAAACCCGACCAAAACATCTCCGAATGACCTGAAATTTTGCGCACACATCCAAAATCACCTAACGGAGCTACTGTAACTCTCGGAATCCATTCCGACCCTCGGATCAAAATCTCACCTACCAACCGGAATTTGCCAAAAATACTAACTTCGCCAATTCAAGCCTAATTCTACACTGGACCTCCAAAACCAATTCCGATCACGCTCCTAAGTCACAAATCATCCCCCGAAGCTAACCGAATCTCCGGAAATCACATCCGAGCCCTCTAACTAACCAGTCAACTTCCCGTTGACTTTTCCAAAACAAGCTTTCCTTAAAGAGACTAAATGTCTCATTTCCTACCAAAACCAAACCAATCCAACTCGATTACCTCAAATACCGATAATGAAGCATAGAGAAACATAATATGGGGAAAACGGGACGGTAACTCACGTGACGACAGGCCGGGTCGTCACACTTTTATAATAATATAGATAGATAGATAGATATAGATATACAACAAAATAGACCTTATATACAAACTAATGAATGTAATTCTAATTTATCAAAAAAAAAAGTAAAATAAAAGAGCAAAAATGAAAAGGTGGAGACAAATATGGGTTAAATAAGTGAGAGCAAGACATATATAAAAGGCATTACAGCTCCCAACGGCAGATTGCTCGAACTTCAGCTGTTTTCTTGGAAGGTATTGTTTTTATTTTTATTTTTTAATAATAACTAAAAGAGTACATATATATAAAGTTAATCCAATTAAGAAACCGAGAAAAGCTAATACTTTTCCAAAATTGTGAAATACGAATATCCCACGGGAAGCACGACGTACACTTCTGCAGTAGCTGATGCTTATACTTTGTTTCAAATATATCTTAGGCTTGTGTTTATAAATTTCCAAAACCGAAAGTAATTATACTATTAAAATTCCTAAAGGTAATCCCGTACGATTCCTAACGTGTAATATTATGTCCTAAAACTAATAGGATTATGAGGCTAATATTTAAAATTTAGGTTATGTCCTTTTATTATGAGTTATTATGCTTAATATTATAAGGTTATTTTTATAAACTGACATTATATTCAATAATATAGATAGATTATATTTGGCACATTAAAGTTTCTCCGTTATCTTTTTTTTTTTCCCAAGATTTGCTAAAGTGCAAAACACAAAGATCCTGCAATTTTATCACATTTACCTTTTCACACATTTTGAAGGACAAAAGTTTTTTTTTTTTTTTTTAACTGTTTATTGTGCTAAATAAGGTTTTTTTTTTTAAACTGTTTTTATGCTAAACTCCAAGACAAAAAAAAAATGTTTTTCAAGAATTACGTCTATTCACTTCTAATATTGAATTATAGTTTTCGATTGAAAAAAAAAAAGATCGAATTTTGGGACTTCTAAGAAATCTATAATATTATTCAGCAATTTCCCACACACATTAGCGTACACACATACACACATTTTCCTTAAACCCAAATATTTGAAAGATGAAGCCTCAAAATGGAATCACTTTCATGTAATTAATCTTGTATATCCTATTCAATTAAAAGGCGGGGGCGTGAGGCGAGGCGTTTTACCTCTGACGAGGCGAGGCGTAAGCCCTGAGACATGGGGCATAAGTCCCACGGATCTTTAAATTTTCCTAATTTCAAGAATTTTAAGATAGTATAAAATAAAAAATAATTATAAAAATTACATTAAAATCACAAAATTAGAACAAATAATCTATTTAAATTTTGATAAATTATAATTCAACTATAAATAACACGAAAAGTATGACAATATCATAATATGCAAATTAGCAGCAACGTCGTTACAGCTCAAACATTAAAAGTAATGTATTCGATATGAAATCTTATATGTATCTCTTAAGGAGTAATGAATCTTGAATGAATTTCGATATTATAATTTGATATTTTTCTTAAAATACTCCTTTTATTTAATATGGTTTGTATTTGAAAGAGAATTTATATAAAAACATAATTCACAATTTAAATGTGATTCTCAAGCATCGTTCATTTTTAAATTTCAACAAGTTCGTAAAGTGACACATAATTCACCATACAATACCATGATAACTAATTATTTGTAAATAGTTACTAATACTGAGCGATTAAATTAATAAGTATTGTATCTCATAAACATGAAAAAAAATATTTAAAAAAATAATTATAAAAAAAATTATGGACTATTATATAGTAAAGACATACAAAAGTTAATAAATAAATACTTTTTAAATGAAAGATTTATTTAAAATTAACTATCATAGCAGTCTTAGTGGATAACGTGCAATAATTTTTACTTTAATTATGATATAAAATACTCTAAACTTACTGATTTATAATTAGAAAAAAAGTAATTTTGAATAGTCAATGATTTATTAAGAAAATTTGAGGATTTACAAGGTTAGTTACATACAATTGCATAAAGTTCTATTAGGCGAGCCCAGTACGCTGGGCGTTTGACGTGTCTGGGACGTAAGCTCCAATGGCCGAGACGTAAGTCTCACGGAACTAAGCCCCACACATAGGTCCAGGGGCGTTTTACGAGTGCTCCGCCCCGGGGCGAGCCCCAAGCGAGTCCCAATTCTACCTTTTAAAACAGAGATCCTATCCAATAATCTGGTTTTCATTGTATTATCATGTTGAACTTTTTTTTTTTTTTTGGGTTGAGATTTAACCAATCAACAAGTTCTTTCTTACTTTTAATGAAAGGATTTTAGTTTGAACTTTTTTTTAAAGACAAGTTTGGAGTTAGTGATGTTTGTACCAATCGATGATAGAAGAATAACTATTATTCGCTCCGTTTAAGCTTCCTTCCTATTTACTCGGGGAGTTCTTCTTCATACAAACGTACTACCCCTCCGGTTCACAATAAGTAACCAATTTATTTTTAGTACGTTCATTAAGAAAATACTAAATTCTATACAAAAATACTTATTATGACTAAACTACCCCTAATTAAACATTTAATGTGAGGAGTAAGAAAACTTTTTAGGGATATGTACATAGGAGTTATTTTGTAAAAACAAATTGAATTCTTTCTTGATTACATAACTGGACACTTATTTTGAACCAAAATGAAAAAGCAAATTGGTCACTTATTGTGAACCGGAAGGAGTAATTAATTATACAATTGGAGAAATTGTTTGTATTTTGACTTTAATCAAGTAGTTAGAACTCCTACAACAACAAAAGACCCAATGTAATTTTAATAGTGAAATTTTGTAGAGTATAGTAACTTTACTCCTATCTTACGAAGATAAAAGACGATTTTCATGGACCATCGACTCAAAATAGGATTTGGAACCCCTAATTTGTCTAAATAGAAATGCAGGGAACAAAGTTAGTACTCCCTCCGTTCCAGTTTATGTAAACCTGTTTGATTGGGCACGAAATTTAATAAAAATTGAAGACTTTTGGAATTTGTGGTCCTAAATAAGTCAAAAACGGGGGCAGAGTATTTATGTGGTTATAAAAATTTGTCATTAAGGATAGAATTGTAAGTTTAAGCTAAATAGTTATCAAATTTAGAAATGAATAATTCTTTTTAAAACGGACAAAAAAGGAAATATGTTTAACGAAAACAAAGGTAGTACAATTTATAGATTTAGCCCACACATAAACAAGTGGTGTACTTCACCTGAAAACTATGAGCCGCTCCGTTAGCCAAATAAAATCCAGAAATATAAAACTAACGACTCTCACTAAATACCCGTAAATCGCCAAAGTTGAAACTTTTGTTCTTCAATGGCTTCTCTGCTGAACCCACCTCTCACTCTGCCTCAAAACAAGGTAAAATTCACACTCTTTGCAATACATATATGTATATGTTGACATTTCAATCTCTATTTATTTATTTGTTGCATAAATAATTCGTATATTGCAGACAGAAAGTTGATGTTCATACTAACAGCTAACTTAATTATGATTAATTTTGTTAAGATGTCATTTAGTTGGATTTTGCCAGTTAATTATCTGTCACTGCTTAATGAAACTTGATTTTTGTTCGAAGGAGTTAATCCAAAGTACTTGTCTTACCTACTCCTAATTGCCCCTTTTTTGCAGCTATGTAGTTGCTTATCCTAAAAATTGAACAAACTGTTTTAAAGTTTCGGTAGTCTGTTAAAGTCAACCTGCAATTAGTACAAAAATCAGCTAGTAGCACCCAACGGTGTGCGATCTAGCGGTCAATGAAGTAGGAGGAGACCTTGGTCTCAGGTTCAAATCTCACCGGACGAAAAAAAGGAGACCTTGGTCTCAGGTTCAAATCTCACCGGACGAAAAAAAAAACGTTCGGTGATTTCGTCACATTTGCCTTGGTGGGCAGAGTTATCCGGTAACTTTGCTGGTGGGAGGTAGCAGGTACCCGTGGACTAGTGGGGGTTTCACTATAAAAAATCAGCTAGTAAGGGACTTAACAAGGTTAAGCTCTATTTTGGAGTAGATAATTTTTGGATTTTATCAAAAGTGAAGCTTTTCAACTCTTTCTTTCAAGAATTACTTTGTCAGAAGCCACTGTAACACCCAAGGCCTCTTTTTACTTAATGGAAAATTGATTATACGCTTATTATAATGGTTTGTGTCAATAAGCGGCTTTTACTATATTCTTGACTAGTTAAGTAGGCGTTGCTTAGGAAAGCTATATCTTTGTGAAGGAATTGTTGATTCTATCGTTTGGTGTAATATCTGAGACATTTTCCAGATTAGCTGGTTTTCTCCATTCTTTATCGGTCGAGTCTCATTTGTCATTCACAATTGTAATTCAAGAGTAGGTAATCAGAGTTAACTGTTGATGAAAGAATGAGAAACAGAAAAGAAAACAAACTTGGAGTCTCCTTTGTTAGAAATTTAGATCAGACAATCTTATAGCTTCTTTCTTTGTGCTTTATATGTGGCAAAAATTACTACTTGTGACCTCTAAGGCATTACTGCCTTCTGTGTAAAAGGAGATGGGAAAGGCATTGAATTCTGTTCCATTGTGTTTACTTTAAATCCTTTTTTTTCCAGTTTTTTGTTTGAAATAGTCATTTTATGATGCTTGCAATTATGCTATACGCCAATCAAACTTGGTATTTTCCTACTGATGTATGGTTCAAGAATGAGTCAAAAGGCAGTTTCACCTGTACCACTATCGATGTATTTGTTCAGTATTTCTTTGACTTTGTTGGTTTACTTGATATGTCCTGAAAAAGCTCTCTATGTTCAGCTGAATCCTGGAGGTGTCCTATCTGTAGCTACCAGCGCAATACCAAGCAAAAATTTTCAACCATTTTTAACACAGAAAAGGAGCCACAGGCATTGTTTGCTGATAAGAGCTAAAGCGTCGGTGGAAACGGATATGCTTGCAAAAGATTCTGTTGGCGCCGACGCTGTTGATGATAAGGGTGATCCTTCTTTGCCATCTTAAACAGCATGCAGTCAAAATTTTCATCGGATTTCTCTATATTCTTTCATATCATCATTAAGAAATAGCTACTAATAAAGGAATTCATTATATCATTTGTGGTCCTTTGGGCATGCATGCAATTTAGTACTGGTATCGATACCGTGTGGAAAAAATAAGTGAATCTGTTCCCACTTTTGTAATTTTAAATTTGATTAGACCCGGAAATTAAATGATAATAGTTCCAACCTCTAGCTTTTCTTAATTCCTGTTAGTGTTCTCTTTGGCTTTGATTTGGAGAGACATATAGAAGCTCTTGATTATGGTCAAGCTCTAGCTTAATAAACATAAGTAGTATCTCTGATGTTCTTGTTGAAATTTTGACGGAATCTCGGAAATGTACAGTTATCGTAATCCATTATGTTGTTCAGCTTAAGGGTACATGAGCTGAAATGGTGAATACACATCTTATTTGTAAATTTATACCATCTTTCAAGGTATTGGTTGTATGGGTCGATGGAGTTTACACCAGAAATTCCAGACTTTATAGAAATTATTTGATAACAGAACATAGAATCAGAAGATTGTTAAGGCCAAACTGGTCTTCTAGTATAATGATCGAAATATATCTGATTGTAAGTAATGGTTTCGATTAGTGCAGATTTTGGAGTTGTTAGCATGCACCACGTCGGAATACTATGTGAAAACCTTGAGAGGTCGTTGGACTTTTACCAGAATATTCTTGGTAATCACACTTTACTTTCTAAGTGGATGACTAAACTCCTGTTAAACTACATAATTTTGCCGTTCTGAAAGCTCATGAATGATCAGGACTAGAAATAAATGAGGCAAGACCACATGACAAGCTTCCCTACAGAGGTGCTTGGTTGTGGGTGGGTTCAGAGATGATACATCTAATGGAGCTTCCAAATCCAGATCCCTTAACTGGTCGGCCTGAACATGGGGGGCGAGATCGTCATACTTGCATAGCAATTCGCGATGTGTCTAAGCTGAAAGTTATTCTTGATGAAGCTGGTAATTCATTTAACTTCTTGCTGTTTTACATTCTGAGTTGAGAATATTAAAGAATTTTGGACATTCATTCCACTCTTCGTCTTCCATTTCAGGTATTCCCTACACCCTTAGTCGCTCTGGGAGGCCAGCCATTTTCACTCGAGACCCAGATGCTAATGCACTAGAATTTACTCAAGTTGATGCTTGACATAATTTGGACTGCTTGCTCTCTAATCTGTGATCTTTATATAGTTAAAATATACAGCTGCTGTGCATATATGTATAGGGATATTCAAAATATTCAGTCAATAACTGTTTGAAGCATTGCAGCTATCAGCATCATTTAAAGTTAGATATAGTGGTTATGGTTTGTCAACCAAAAAATAAAAAAGGAAAAAGAAAAAAGTCATGTGCTGCTGTGTATGTGATTCAAATATATGCTGCTCCTAGTTGAATATCTGTGAAGGAACAACTAATACAATTTTCACGAATACGTGCAAGTTATTTTGTAAGATTTACCCCCATTCCAAATTACACCATCTGTAGGACTGTAGGCTCCAAGTCTTGAACAACTCTTTTTGGATAAATTTTGAACAATTATTTTCTGTATAGGTAATAGCTTCCCATGTTTTATTTTCAAATTCCATGACACAAAATTTTTCAAGAAGAGTTTAGCTTCCTTTATACTGACTTTTACATAGTCATGTGAGCTCTTTTACATAGTCATGTAAGCTAAAAGATAAACTAAATGCAGTTGTCAGAGTTTACTACAATAAGTCAAGATATACCGATAGTATAAAACTTTACACTGTCCCAAAATGTAAGTTAAATTCTTTCAAGAATGGGTTGTCCTATATGTAGTTGCTCTAAGTCTGATGGTATTATGGATTAATTCCTGAATCTCCACAAACTTTTTATTACAGGTTATGTGCCTTAATGCACTAGTATAGTAATGTCTTGTCTCCAAAAACATTCTTTGCTGAGTTCATCACTGCAATTGAATGATGGAAATTATACCCAGTTTTGCCTTGCTTCCAAATGAATAAGTATCGTCTGTTCTCTGTCACTGCATTTTACGAATCAACGACTTTCTTAATGAAAGCATACAGTTCAGACTCCATTAGCAGACTTGTGCAATTGAACGAAAAGATGCATGCAATCTGTTTCTTCATTCCCGGGATAATGAAACACAATTGTCTACATTCTTCTGTGTTCTCGACTATCAAATGCAATATAATTGCTTATAAGACTACAATTGTAACTGCAATGCACTTGAGTAATGTCAATGAACAACAGTGACATCTATATTTTGTTCTCGAGACACCTCTCCAACAGAATATAATTTATGTCCTAGTTCTTTTCCTTTCATTCCTTCCCCTTTATTGTTCTCCGGAACTATTATTGGCTTGATATATGCACACATTACAAATGTGACTTCCAATCTTGTATGGCAAGGCGTAATGTGTGGTTTGGGGTAAGCATCTTGTGCTGCAGTCTCTGTTTCGTCACAGGTGACACGTTATGTCTGTCAACCCATGCCTTTATTGCTCTATGCTCATATGAAAAGCCATCAGCTGCTATATGTGGGTTTTCCATTACTTCCTGCAAAGATGTCGCGTGATAATAGACAAGGCAGCAGAGTGAGATGCATGTTACTAGAAGAAAGGACTTTACAAACTATCAAGTCATCTCATGGAATTTGTATTCTCACCTGAAGGATTGGACAGAAGTACTGGCTAGGTGCCTGGATAAGGTTTTTCTCTGACTTGACATGCATTTCCGCAAATTCAGAAAGCTTTTTCAGAAGCGGAAGAACTTCAGTCTCAAGATCTGGTCTATCTCTGCATCTAAGCTTACAGCATTGTAGTGCCATCTTAGCAAGCTCTTCTGCTTCAATCAATGGCCAATCTACTACTGACTTGTCAAGTACATCCGCGAGCGAATTACTAACTATAGCTTTTTCAAATTTCATGATAAGGCCATTAGGATGACAAGCAGCCAATAGTTGAAGTGCTATTATTCCAAAAGCATAGAGATCAGACTTAGGTCTCAGGGTGCCAGTTCTTTGATACTCCGGATCCATATAAGCAAGAGTGCCAGCAATAATGGAGTCCCTATACTCGGTAATACTTTCCGGAACAATATCTGACATTATTTTTGCTAAACCCACATCTCCAATTTTACTCGCATAACTTTTGTCCAACAATATGTTTCCTGGTTTTAGATCTCGATGAACAATGGGCTCAGGCTTTGAGTTGTGCAGGAATGCAAGACCGCATGCCACTTCAAAAAGTATCCGGAATCGAACAAACCAGGGAAGAGGTCTGTTTTTTCCTTGGAAAATGTAATCTTCCAGGCTTCCATTTTCCATATACTCATAAACAAGACAGCCATTTTCTGGAGAGGCTCCAAGCAGTAAAACAATATTTGGGTGATGCAACTGGCTAAGAACCTCAACCTACAAAATTTAATACGAAATTAATCTAAAGTTGGAAGTTTTGCCAGAATGACATTTGCCACAGTTGCCTGAAGCGAAAAACTTAATGATATGAGATAGGCATCTAGTGAGGAACTAAACAAGCAACATTGATATACAAATCACAAATCACAAGGTATATGATTGTAGCTCTTC